AGAGGGGTAGCGCCTCAACCCCAACACCCTGAACAGCTAAAAATAGCACCGAAACCCCAGGTAACACCCAGCGCCACCCTGACATGCAACTCAGTGGCCTGCGCCAAAGTGAAACAGGCTCCCAGAGCCATCCACCATCCAGATGATGAAGAAGAAGCTCAGCGCTAACAGTCCCTGATGAAGATGAAGTCCAGACGATGATATCTCTRAGTAGATGCAGCTATGGCCGCATCGCCAYTGSGACCCTACTCCTGAGGAGGGTCAGCAGTGCACCACGTGCTCCAACRCATCAGACCTCAGATAGCCCAGACCGCTATGACTCTCAGAGAGTCAGAGCGGACAGCGTGAACCCAGTCTGGTCAACGCCCCGAAGGTCTGGCTATGTCCGCCGTGTCCACACCGGAATCAGCAACCRCGAACCGATACCGTGTGCRCARCAACTTCCACCACGAAGTGTCAACTGCCAAAAAAAAACCGGACCGGTGTCCMCATCCTACCTATRGTCTACACTAGCCTAGACCGACCTAGACCGGACTGACTGACCGACCRGTACCGTTTCAGTTTCGGCCTCTAGGGCCTCTCCCTACCCGGCTATAGGCTATAAGACCGTCTATCAGCATAGGCCCATAGGGCCTGTCTGTCCTAGGTGTAGCCCGGGCCTGCTATCCGCATTTAGGGTCGCTGTTAGGAAAGTCGGGTTAGTACAGGGCCATATTTCTATATTTACAGATATGTCCCTCACGAATTTCCCACACAGGCAGGTCTCTTGGTTAGCCCTCAGCCTAACAAAATTACGAATCTACCCCTAAGTAAAGTACAGCCTCATCAGGGTGAGGCTACAGGCAACATGGAAACAGCAAGTCATTGCAGACCTACCCTCCCCCGGAGCGAGGACCTCCGAGCTAGAGGCGTAGGCGTGCAGAGCGTCGAAGGGGCTCTCCCTTCTGCTCAGCCTCATACTTGAGGATCACAGACTTTGCTGTTTTCAGGAGCTCCTTGCGAGTGAACCAGCGATCCTCAGTATGGGGCTGGTAAAGAAACTTCACAAGGTACTCCTTACCCAGGCCTGTACCATACTCATCCACAACTTCTTCCACCTCATATCCCTTCCCAGGGATCGGGGGACCGAATTGTGGAGGCCTGTCTGGAAATGCATCAGCCGGGGTGAAAGGTAGCAGCTTGGATGCATGAAAGACAGGGTAGGTTTGTAGATGTAGTGGGACATCTACATGATAGGATGGCCCAAAGGGGTCAGCCCCCACTGTATCTAAAACCTGCCATGGACCCATATAACGCGGCAGCAGCTTAGGCTAAATGTCCTCCTCCCACGATAGCTCAGAACTGAGCACCCAGACCCAGTCACCAGCATGAATGGGGGATGGTCGACGATGTTTGTTAGCCTGCTGAATCATTGCCTTTTGGGCTTTGAGCAGGTTAACCTTGGCTCGTTCGATGTCCCTCTGGTACTGTCTGGCGAACTCTGCAGTCCCAGGAGTCAGTCTGGGGTTAGCCTTATCGATGATATCATCGAGAGGCTGCCGTGGCTCACGTCCCCAGTGCAACCGGTAAGGGGTGAACCCTGTGGAGGAGTGTACAGACGTGTTGTACACTAGCTGTGCCCGTCCTAGATGGAGATCCAAGTCCTGCTGATCAGGGCTGATCACAAGACGCAGCAACTGAAACAGAATCTGGTTCATCACTTCAGCCTGCCCATTGGCTTCAGGATGATGACCAAATGTCATGTTCAGCCTGGAATGAAGGTAGTCATTGCCATAGGACTGCCATTCATTGCTGCAGAACTGCGGATCTCTATTGCTGATGATAGAGGTGGGTGGTCCATGGTGAGTAGCCCACCTGTCAGCAAAGGCCGCTCGTACAACCGGGACTCTGGCTTCCTCTGGCAGACGAATAAACTCTGCATACTTAGAGAACTTGTCAACACACACCATAACCTGACGCATACCACGAGGAGTGGTCCTCCCTAGATCAGTGAAATCAATAGACACTGACTGTGTAGGTGCTTCAGGGATGGGAAGTGGTTGTAGGAGGCCAAGGGGAGGTCGGCGCACGACCTTGTTCCTTTGGCACAGATCATAGGTTTCAACGTAGTGCAACATGTCCTTCCTCATCTCTGGCCAGAAGAACCGCTGCGACAGGGCAGCCAACGACTTTAAGGCCCCAAAGTGGCCGCGAGCATCATGACACTCAGACATCATGAGTGTTCTCAGTGTAAGTGTACAGCAGATCTGAGACCAGAATATAGCCTGGTTCAGATGCAGGATCAGTCTGGAGATTCCTCACAACTGGGCCGAAAGTCGGGTCCTGTGGCAATAACTGGGCAATGGTCTGACGGGTACTCTCTCCAAAGGTATGAGTGGAGGAGATCATGCAGACAGCGTCAGGCCTACGAGAAAGGGCGTCTGCTACACGATTGTAGCAGCCCTTCTTGTGTTTCAGTTCAAAGTCAAAGAGATCAATGAACTGAGTGTAGCGCGCGAGCTTGTTATTCAGTTCCCCCTGGGTCTTCATCCACTGCAAGGTGGAGTGATCAGAAAAGATCTGAAAATGCCGGCCCATGAGGAAATGCTTCCAATGCTTCAGCGCTGACACGAGAGCATACAACTCTTTCTCGTACGTGGAATGCTGCAACTTCTTGACTTTGATCTTCTTACTCATGTACTCAACTGGCTGCAGACCATGCCCACCATCCTGCTGAAGTACCGCCCCAACCCCATACTGACTAGCATCAGTAGTTAGTACGAAATGCAGGGTAGGGTCAGGTAGCTTCAGAACAGGTGCACGCATCAAGGCCTCCTTGAGGCGTGTAAAAGCCTGCTGACAGTCTGATGTCCAAAGAAAGTGGGTGTCTTTCTTTGTACGATCAGTCAGGGGTGCAGCAATAGCAGAGAAGTTCTTGACGATCTTCCTGTAATATGATGCAAGGCCCAAGAATGACCGGACATCACGAACTGTGGTAGGTTGTGGCCAGTCCTGAATCGCTGCAATCTTTGGCGCTTCAGGAGCCAACCCTTCCCCAGAGATTACATGTCCCAGATAAGTCACAGAAGTCACTCCAAAGGAGGAGTTTTCCCTGTTGATCTTATACTGGGCCTCATGTAGTGCCTGAAGAACTAGAGCCAGATGCTGCGCATGCTCCTCGACAGATTGACTGAATACCAGGATGTCATCCAAGTACACAACTACAAATCTGTCCAGGTAAGGCCTGAGTATGCGATGCATCTCTGTCTGGAACGTGCCAGGGTCATTGCAAAGACCGAAGGGCATGACCAGGTACTCATAAGTGCCATACCTGGTCTTGAAGGCAGTCTTGTGGATGTCGCCTTCAGCCATCTCAATCTGGTGGTAGCCAGATTTGAGGTCGATCTTGCTGAAAATTGTGCAGCCCTGCACCATGTCCAGCAGATCATCGATCCTAGGAAGGGGCTCTGTAGACTTCCTAGTGATCTTGTTGAGACCTCTGTAGTCCACACACATTCTGAACTCTCCATTTCCCTTTGGGACAAAGAGAACTGGAGCCCCAAATTCAGATGTGCTGGGTCTGATCCAGCCCTTGCTGGTCAGGGTCTCAACCTGTCTCCTGAGCTCATCGAGTTCAGCAGGTGACATCCTGTAGACACGGCCCTTGGGAGGGACCGCACCTGGCAGGAGCTCAATCCTGTGCTGGGTCTGCCTATGGACAAGTCCAGTAGGCTCCTGCATCAGGTCTGGATACCGGTCCAAAACCTGCTGAATCGGTGAGGGACAGGAAGCAACCTCCACACCAGTCTGTTTTACATATTCAATGAACAGACGTGTGGGGGCAGTCTGGCGAGAGAGCTGAAAGAACTCATGTGCCCTCATACAATAGCAACTGCTGACTGGATGGTACTCATCAGCCAGGACACAAGGCTGATAGTCCCCTCTGCAGTCAGGGAGCTCTACCCTAGGGATCTGCCAGTCGATCCTAGGGTTAGTGGCCTCAAGCCACTGCATGGAAAACACAAGATCAAAGGGTACATTGGGAAACACATAGAAGTTCAGGCGCTGCCTGACCYTCTCCTGCTTGTCAAAGRTAACCGGWAGGTTCYTGACARCAGATGTAATCCGGACTGTGGAGGAGTCCCCAATTCGGACTTCCAGTGGCTGCTGCAACTTCACCAATCTCCCATCCAGATGCAGCTTGCTGACAGCCTTGGGAGAGATGAAGTTCCGGGTAGCCCCACAGTCTAACAGGCCCTTGATCTTGGCTCCCAGGATAGAGGGTCGCAGCAAGATGAGGTCTGGCTTATGCTTTTCTTCTCCTGCAAAGACAGGAAAAGATCAGCAAAAGTCTGACTATCATCTTCCTGCCACGTCTCATCCAGGTCAGGGTCCATGTAAGTGAAGGATCCTGACAGAGCAACTCCATCAACAGAGTCAGCAAGGGTGGATGCAGAATCAGATGGATCTGATTCAGCATAAGTGGAGGGAGCTGCAGACTCCACTTCCCTCAACTGGTCGAGTTTTTTGAACTCGAACCAGGTTTGCGAGGCATGTGGGGACAGTCTTTTAAGAAGTGGTCCCCCTCGCAACGAAAGCAAACCTCACGGTCCTTCCTCCTCTGCCATTGCCCTTCCTGGATCCTGAGCGCTCTCCAGGGAAGGGTGGAAGGATCCATGACGTTGACTGGCCAGTGGACGTCTCGTGGAAGATTAGGTCTTTGGGCCTGAGGGGAAGTGGCACGTCCCTTCCCTTTCCCCTTCTGGTTGGCTGAACCCTTGCTGCTGTCTTTGCTGAACTTTCCCTTGAACATTGCAGCAAAGTTCTCAGCCAGGGCAAGAACGGCTGGCTCAACTGCTGATCCAGATGCAATCTCAGATGGAGGACTGCCATGCTGAGATGCATCTGAATCAGATCCTGCATCAACAGCCAATAGAGCACCTTTCCTCCTGCGTTGTCTCTGGGAGGTAGGCCTCTTCCTTCCTTCAGAAGGAGTCTGAACCTTGAGCCGGGACTCCAGGTCCAGTACCGCTTTGCCAAAGGACCTCCAGTCCTTATGGCCCTGAGCATACAAAGCAATAGAGTAGTCTGGAGGGGCTGCACGCAGGAAATGGGTGAGCTGGTCAGACTCACTCATCTCCAGATCGGGTGTAGAGGTCAAGCTCTCAAACAAACTGTAGAGCTTGGACAGAGAGCCCTCAAATTTGTGAGAGCCCAACAGCATAATCTTATCAGCTGCTTTGCGGGCCTGCTCCCTGTCAGCAAACCGGTCCTGCAGCGCCTTCAGCAACCCCGCCATCCCCAGCTGCTGTCCCCACCTATCCATAGCCACATTCTCTTTGGTTGCAGAGGACGTGCACCATTTCAGTGCAGCCCTCTCCAACCGGCCAAGAATAGTCCCCACCTTGGTAGCTTCTGGACATGTGAAGCTGCCCAGGTATGCCTGCATAGCGGTGACCCGGTCTGACACATCCACCTTGGGGTCTTCCCCAGAATACATAGGAGGGGGTGTCAGCTTGGGCCCTCGCTGCACTGCTGTACCAGAAGCACCAGATGGGGTGGATACATGAGAACCAGAAGGTGAGGCTGGACGACTGTGAGGTGGTGAACCCGCTGGCCGGGTGATCAGCTGGCCAGCTGGCTGCACAGGCTGGGGGGACGGGAGAGGCAGCTTCAGGTGCTGCAGAACGCTGTTCATCCCTGTCGTCAGAGAGGTCAGATCCTTTGCCATCTGATCCACCTTGTGCTCGATGGCAGAGACCTGACTCTCCACAGCAGAGATCCGGTGGTCCCAGTTGGAAAAATAAGACCTGCTGAGGGTGTCATTCAGGATGACCAACTCAGCAATACTCTTATTGTACCCACTGGCAGAACCGCTATCAACAACCTTCTGCACTTCCCCCAAAAGTTGTCTCCTCCTTTCCTCCTGCCTCCCTGCCTCCTAAGCCTCTTCTTTCTCCTTCCTCAGCTTGGCGATTTGTTCATCCACTTTTCGCCTAGCTTCCTCAACAATCAACAGTGCTTGCTCCAGAGGAGAAAAAGGAGACTGGGGTGGGTCCGGAGTGGCAGAATTTTCTGCCTGAGGAGTTTCCTCAGACATCTTTCCTTCAGCGTCAGGCATGATAAACCACTCACACAGTCAATAAATAACAAGAGGCAAATACAAGGTAAGCAGAATTAAGATTACACACACACCCAGAGGTAATCACTGCCACCTGATGAGAAGAGACGTGGTGTGATAAGCAGAAGAGCGCTCAGCCTCTGTAGGTTGCTGAGGGTTGTCCTGGGTCAGTTTAGGTCAAAAACAGATAAAATCATATTTGCAATTTTTCATTCACAGCCCAGAACCCTCATCTGAGTCAGTACCCCCAGAATCGCTGCCAGATAGGTAGACAAGATGCAACCTTGGACTGTAAGTAGACAGATTAGAATAGCACAGAGAGTTAGTAGCAATCCCCAGAACCCAGTAATCAACCAAGATGCAGCGGGTGACTGAACAAGCTATTTTTAGACTCCTACTACTGACACTGGCACTGTAGGACCCTGTATGCCCCACTATAGGTGAGGCGATGTACAGATATCATTGTACCTGACTCAAAACATCAAATCCAGTATAGCGCTTTCAGACACTGACTAAATACTGAATTGCGATTTCAGGGTGACTGACAGATTGAAATTCTGACGGACAAACCCTAGCTGCCCCAGGCACTGGCTATGGCAGCGCAATATTCAGAATTCCATTATCACTGACATCCAGACCCTGAACTACTCCATTCACAGTGTATACTGAATCGCAATTCTGTAATACAGTCTGAGATGCAATTTGAGACAGAGAAGAGGTCAAAGAGGGTCAGTAGAGGTCAAAGTAGGTAGGTAGGAGAAATGGCTATGGCTGTCAGGCAATGCGATTTTCCAGTTCCACTGACAACAAACATGCAACTACTATTTCTTCAGTCTAATTACACTCATCAGAATCGCTACAGGGACTTGAGTACGGAACACACTCACTTCAGGTCAAAACACTGCATGAAGAAGATGAACTGGCTATGGCTGCCATCTCGCCAGTTTCTCCCATCCACTGTTCCTGGTGCTCCCACATTCAAAATCTCCTGAAACTTGGTGATACTAAAACTCTTGATATGGCGAATAATCCCCACTAGCCAAATTCTCTGAACCTGGTCCAGAATTGCCAACTCGACATACCCCCAAGTATCTCGCCACTAACAGAGCCACCACCTAGGTTAAAAATAGCCCCTCAGTGCCTCCCTGGCCACTGAGCACTAAATCGCCACCAATCACTGTGTCATACCAATCGCCACACACCCTTCACCAACACCCTACTGAGCGCAACCCTGAAGATGAAGTTTCTCCACGAAACCCTACGTCAGAAGCTCTCAGGTAGTGATGGCTGCCTCAGTCCATCAAATCGCCACTGTCTGGGTCCGATCTGCTCCGATACCAACTGTTATGAACATGATTGTCTCCCGAAATTTGATCAGCACTCACTCACAGGAACTCCCATACACGCCCATACACGCATAGAAGGAAGGGGAGAGGTAGTGGAGTATCACACCGCCCGACACAAAGAAACGCAGCGGAAGACTCAGGGGAGCGAAGTGACAGAAAACACAGACAGTGAATTCTCTCCACACCATTCCCAACAATCATTCATAGAAGACAACCGAGTGATCACAGCCAGAAAACAATGAAGAGATGACAACTCAAACACAGTATTGTAACTGTTGATTAAACTCAGAGCACCGTTTTCACTGAATAGCATCAGAACCCTGTTGCGCTACCCTCAGAGGGGTAGCGCCTCAACCCCAACACCCTGAACAGCTAAAAATAGCACCGAAACCCCAGGTAACACCCAGCGCCACCCTGACATGCAACTCAGT